TTTTTTTTTTTTTTTTTTTACTGCAAGTATGTCCAATCAGTGGAACAGGCTGCCTAGAGAAGTTGTCAGGTCTCCATCCTTAGGGATATTTAAAACCTGGCTGGACAAGATACTGAACAAGCTTCTCTAGCTGCCTCTGCTTTGTGTCAGAGTGTTCACCTAGACAGTCTCCAGGGATCCCTTCAAACCTCAGCTATTCTATTAATCTTTGGTACAGGTACTACCAACACTATAATTTCTTAGTGTCAAGAGCAAAGTTTATTGCTGGACAAAAAAATATATTTTCCAATATTTCCAATCTGTTGAAGTATTTAATATATAAGATCAGACAACTTTAGAGATGACCTTTGAAGAGCATCCACAGGAATGCTGACTAAATATTATGATATGTGACATCCAAGTCAGGTGGCTTTGCAGTCATTTCCAGACTTCTTGAAGTAATAAGAGAAACTCTGAAGGGCTTCTGCTATATGACTCTTCAATCTCTTAGTCGTTCTATTCCACATCAGTATTTTCTCCCTTTTCACAAGGGATCATGTTCAACAATCTCAGAAAAAATGTCCAAACCCAACTTTCTGGTTTCAGGTTCCTGGTGGAGCAGGTATCATGATTTGAAACAGCTCTATCCCTCTTCTGCTAACCCTGCAAAAGCAGTGAGAGAATGCAGATGCAGTGTATCTTACACTTTTCCATTATCTGAGTGATTAGAATATATTTTTCCACTGTTGTCTTCAAGTTCTGTGGTGGAGAAAAAAAATGAGTGTAACTTTTTTCTTAAAGGAATAAAGGTAGATAGTCTCTTTTTTAAACTCTTGGACAGATTAATGCTTTGAATCTTTTTTGAAAACTGCTATGATTTTGAAAAGAAGGGTCAGAAGAATAAATTTTCATTTCAGTTTTATTCCTTTCCATGCCATTCCATTTTCCAGTACTACAGTTTGGAAAAAAAAATTACCATAGCTTGGAGCACAGAAAAAAATGGGGCTCAGTTTCTATTGATTAGAGTATTGGAGGAGACACTTCACAGAGAGCCAGAGTTTTTCAAGAAACTAGGCAGTTTACTTGTATTTTTTTTTCCTATTATGATATAAATGAAAATAATTTTACTCCAAAGAATTATGCAGTAGTTCTTGTGTATTATATGTATGATAGTTCCCTTTTAAATCAAATATGTTTTTTGAAGTGCTTTTTTGAATCCCAAATAAAATTTAAAAAGTAAATAATACAAAACTGTTTTCATGTATTTAAAAAAATGTATTATTTAAATACATATTTAAAGATCAGATCACATTCAAATGTAACCCAACAAATTTGTGAAGAGAAACACAACTCTCCTCTCGAGTCCTTCAATTCAAACACTTCATAAATGATCATGGAAAATGAATTGACAATGAAGATTATAATGCATCATTGAATGAGTAAGTACTTTGCAGACTGCTAGTAGTCAGTATTATTATTTGCAAGATATTCTATTTTCCACCAGATCTATTTATACTTAAAATCACTTTGTGGACTCTTACAGTTTTACCATAAGTAGATGCTAGAAAGAAAAGAAAAATGAGTTTGATTTGTTACAAGGGCATATTTATAGCTGTTTGTTTGACTAGTCACAACCATTTTTTGTTGTTTTTTTTTTTTCAGAGAGCACAATCAGATGAACTAGAAAAAATAGAAAAGCATAGCAAGGCATCCAAGGAAAAAGAAAATGCCAAGTCTTTGGATAAGCCGGAACAGTAAGAACATACTTGTCATAGAGCAGTTTTGCTCACTTCAGAAAACTTTCTCTGCTGTAGTAAATTATGTATAAGAAACCCCCCAAGCCTGTACCTACTGAAATTGACTCAAATAATCTTTTTAATCACTTCTTCAGGTTCCTCTATGAACTCTCGCTGATTCCCAACTTTTCAGAACGTGTGTTTTGCATCCTGTTCCAGTCAACATTTTCAGAAAGCATTGGTTCAATCCGTCGCAAACTTGAATTGTTACAGAAGCTGTGTGAGGTAGGTTGTGCTCTGTGAAAAGATAGATCTAAGTTTCTGATTTTTAATCTTGCTAAGCTTTGCTCATATTTCAAAAGTTTTCACTTTATTTACTTCAAGTACTCATTAAAAATCTGAAGGATAGCAGAAGAGAACATTTTACGCTTGTAGTTTAATAACTAAGTGGATTTTAAGATTACCTTTTGCTACTGAATTATGTAATGCTTTTGCCATCAGTGTGTGTCAGTCTCTGGAAAACAGTGCACCTTCACCTTTTGTTAAAGCAAAATCTTCCCTCTTCACAGTGGCCATTATCACTCTTTTCAAAGGAATGCCAGCTCAGCTAACCTTGTGTTTGCTTGAATTTGAGAAATGTGCAACTTAATAATATCTCTGATATCTAAAATCAGCTAGAGATAGCAATGTTGTATCTAGTCAGAAGAGATTACTGGAATTTTGCAGTCCCAAGAAAAACAAATACAGGGCTTTAAAATGCAGGTTTCATCAGTATTTTAATAAATTAGAACTCTTTCAACTGTTTTATATTTTACTATGAAATAGCTTTTATTTGATTAAATGCTTTAATTTTTCAATATGAGTGTTTTATGAACTTCTTGATGAATTTTCTGTGAAATTAAATATACCATTTACAATGTCAATCTCAGTTAAGGATTACTATTTAGTTTTTCTCAACAGGTCATGTCTGGTAATATAGTACAGATTTTCTTTCATTTTTTTCTAAGCATCCAATTTGGAAATAATATTCTGTATTCATAAAAAATTGCATATTAATATTGTTCTACTTCTACATATTGCAGTGGAAGTTAACTTCCGTTATCTGAGTCCTTATACACTGAGTTTAAATACAACATCAACAAATCTCCTCATTAACCATAACTATTAATTGGACTTTTAATAGAATTTGTTTTTATCTATATTTTAGACATTGAAGAATGAATCAGGAGTTATGCGAGTTCTGGGTTTGGTTCTTGCCTTCGGAAATTACATGAACGGTGGAAACAGGACACGAGGACAGGCTGATGGGTTTGGACTAGATATCCTGCCAAAACTTAAAGATGTCAAGAGCAGTGTAAGTTAATTCAAGACTTCCTGAAGGCCTGAGAAGGTTACATTCTCAGAAAATTACTTTGTTTCTGAGTGAATGGTGTGAAGCTTATGAAGACATGTAGGAGATATTCTTTTGTTTCTATGCTTATCTGATCACACTTCTAGAGATGGATGTATTTCTGTAGAATTACAAAAATTAACCGTCTCTTTTCACTACACTAAGAATAAAAATATGTAAAATTATGTTTTAGTTCTTAGTCTGATGTAGGTTTGACTTTCAGTACACTTCATAGTTCCAACTTTTCTTGTAATTAGAAGCAATATTATGGTCTTATTGTTAGAGGTTTATTACAGAAGTGGAAGGAGTTCCATGCTGATTAAAAATATTTGTGAGGGGGAAAAATGTCACTCCTGAAAATGACTGAATAGGCATCCAGAGCATTTGGGATTACCCCAAATTCGTTACACCATGATTACTGTTTGGACTTCACATTGGAACATGCAGCTACCTGAGTAAAGGACTTCTTGATTCAAGATTTGTCTAGTATAGTCATGTCAGCAAAGAAAATACAAGTAGTGTATTTCCTTCCTCAGTGCTAAACTGTAATTTGTGTGTTACGAGCGCATTTTGTCTTTGGTTAATCATTTTGGGGTTGCATTCAAATATCTGCTTTTCTTTATAAGGAAACAACAATGTTAGAGTCTCTATGGCTAATGAAAAATCTTATCTGCATGTGACAGATTATAACAATAATTCTTGAGCCATAAAATTTGTTTCTGCATCTGTCTGGTGAGTCACTGTCAAGATGGTCAATTCTGCAAATGGCAGGAAAAAAGCGTTGGTTTCTCTTCTTGGTCCTTCGCTAGATATGTTTTTTAGCTGCTGGATTAGGTCTTGTGAGCAGGCCATTAACCCTGAGTTGAGAGAGCATGTGAGCCATTTGCCTTTATAAATGGGTGGAGGAACTTCTTGCATGCTGGTTTCTTTGGTAAACCAAGGGAGTGGAGATGTGAATGGCTCTTTAGTACAACATGTTTAGGGCAGCTTATTCTAGCTGCTCCTTCAAATTGACTCTAGATCCAATACATCACCAGTTTTAGAGCTCTGCTCAGTAGGAAATTTAGGCACACTAAATTTAGTTGGGTAACTCAAGACTTCAGTATGTAATTTGCTGGAGATATTGTGACTGTGAAGCTTGCAGTTGCAAGATACATTTCCAGTTTATTTCCATATTTATTTCCAGTCAGGAATGTTCTTACAAAATCCTTTTCTGAAAATATCTGAAAACTTAATTCTGTCAGAAATCCCCTTCAAGTGGAAGATTTTCTGCTGAAGTTTCATTAGAGAGATTACAGAGGGGAAGCAATTAAAAAGTTCCCTTAACCCGCAACACTTCCCCCTAGCCCCCCAAATTTCATTTATAAAAATAAATTTCTTTGTTTAACTTTTGGTTCTAGTTGTAGTGTTGCAAAAGAACTTGTATACATGAACCCAGAAACAATTTCTCTTTTTTTTCTTGGGAAATTTCAGAACATACATATTTGGTTTGCAATCAGGTAGAATTAAAAAAATCAGGAGTGTGTTATATGGGTGTTTTCTCTTTCTCATTTTATTTAATGATTAAATGGAATTTGAGGGTGTGGTTTGGTTTTGGTTTTGTTGGGTTTTTTTGTTTGTTTTTTTTTTTAGTGAAGTGACCAAACCAGAAAAGCATTTTTTATACAGTAAATATTTCATTTATCTGAATTATCTTTTCTGAATTTCTTCTGTGAGTTTCAGTAACACAGCAAACTCTATCCTCTTCTATACAGGACAACAGCAGAAGTCTTCTGTCGTACATTGTCTCATATTATTTGCGTAATTTTGATGAGGTGAGTGAAAATTAAAATTAACTCTTTTAAATTCAGATTAAGCAACCCTACTTAGTAAATTTCCTCTTCTGCTGGCAAGATGCAGAAATACATACAAATATTCTCTGTGCTTTCAGTCATATATTTTAGTACAGAAAAAAAGTAATGAGCACTATGGAACTGTTAATTTGTTTTTTGGTCAGGATGCTGGAAGAGAGCAATGCATCTTTCCTCTTCCGGATCCACAAGATCTCTTCCAGGCTTCACAACTGAAGTTTGATGATTTTCAAAAAGATCTCCGCAAAATGAAGAAAGATTTGCGAGGTACTGAACCTAGATTAAGTAGTAAATTTATGTTACCATTATATCTCTTCTATTCTTGTTTGTATCATTTCAGTAGATTAGATGATACTGTAAAAATAGTTGTGCATTTTTAACTTCTCAGTTACTAGCTTGTTTTTTTCTGTGATCATTTATGCCATAATCCATGATTTTCTGTATATAACCTGTAAGAGGTTTTTAAATTAAACACCATCAAAAACAGTTAGGTAGAACCTTCTGTTTCAAAACCGAACCAAATAACTAATTTAGTTTTATCCTTTGTGCAAGCTGATTTCAAGCCATTGACCATAAAAAGCACTGCAAATTGTTGGACCATGTGCATGTTTAAAAAAAAGAAGTTTATAGCCAGGTCTAAATATTATCTAGTGAATAAAATCATATATATGACATTATTAAAGGCACTTGAAATATCTGGACTTTACTGAACAGTAATATGCAAAGAAAGAATTTTTTTTCTCTTCTTATGAATTGTTGTCTTCAATTCTGCAAGCTTAAGATATATTTGCTATATTTTAATGAAGAACATTTATCATATATTTCTTATTAGCATGGGGATCTAAGCACTAAATTTGTTAAGCAAGAGTAGTTTGCACAAATGATCCGTGACCTTCAATATTTTTGCAAAAAATCTGTTAAACTGGTCAGTTAGATTACTGTGCTAAATCTTTGAGGGAGAGATACAGATCAAGGAATGATTACTGTTGCCTTGCTGCTTTTAAATGCCGTGCCTCTAGAGACCTAGGAATGGTTTGGTAATCCATTAATCCCTGAACAACCTAGAATGGGAGGTTTTCTATTACAACAAAAACATAATATGGTTACTAAATGATATCTGACCTTCTCTTCTTGCTCCTATCAAGCTTTCTGTTTGGATATTTTGAAAATGATTTTAAATATTTTGGGTATTTAAAGTATTTAGTATTTTTAGTATTTAAGGTTGTATCAGAGTCACTCAGTGTGACACAGAGGAGTGAACAGTTGTATCATCCATTTACTGCTCCTGAACAATCTTGGGAGTAAAATTCTCAGAAAAATTCTCAGTCATGAAAACTTGTTTCTTTACTTCTTGCAGTTTCCAGATAATCTCAGAGCTGATATCAAAGCTTGCACATGTAGAAGAAAAAGATAGTTAGGTCTTACTAAAAGAGGATACTTAAATTCAGTTACATGTTAACAAATATACATGAGGGCAGATTTTATTCCTGACAGATTCACCAAAAATGGTTTTTTGTACATGAATAGTTGAATATTTTCACATCAAGGCTGAAATTTGCACACAGACATAAATCTCTTGTGGAATAAATCCACACTGTGCAGTGATCAAAGCAGGGGTTCTGTAAAAATGGAAATTACATGCTTCGATCGCCTTCAGATTGCAGTTGAATTCTTTCTGTACTTCCAATCCATCCCTTAGGCTCAAGACACTGTTGCCAGTCTTTTCTGTTGTGAATGAAACCGAAGAATAACTACAAACACCATTGCTCTTTCTCTATTACATTTGGTACAAACTTTTCTGGGGAGAGCATCAGCAGCTTCATCCTAGCCTGAATATGAAGTGAGAATTTCAACACCAGACTGCAATATCAGTCATGGCTTCTTAATGGTCTCCAGATACACAAGATTCTTTGTGTTAACTTTCTTTTTCAAAGAAAAGTGTCAGTATAAATTAAAAACCATTTGTTTTAAAAGATTTTATGACCACAAGAGCAGTAGTAGTAAAATATGGTAATACACTAAAAATTCTCTGTATTCTGATGGCTTGATTGTTGTAATGATTTCAGTGAGATTTCAGCCTGTCTCAATGACAATAATTTCAAAATAGAGTACAAATTTTAACCAAATGCATAAAATTACTTCAAAGGGGTTCTTTTTCTCTGCATTTACTTTTAAGTATGCTATCAGGTTTACTAATGAACATGTGGAATCTTCTGAGTTACTAGAGCTTGTAAGTGCCTTATCAAATGTCTGAACAGGAAAAGGATTGAATGATGCTGAGAAAATTCTGACGAAACTCTAAATATGAACCTATTATTTTGAAGTCAGTGCGAGTAAATGAGCATTGACTATTCCTGGGAATCACTGACATTAAAGGCATAGAAATAAATGCCCAGAATGCATTAGAATTTTATACTGAGATGTGGACTGTAGCCTTGGAATTCATCACTAATTAGACAGCAGATTTCATGGGTGGATTTCACCATTTGGTGAGGGTGGGCATTTGATTTGTTCTTTGTCACTGAGAAACTGAAACTTGTAGATAATACTGACACAGGCAGTATCAACAGTTTAAGTGTATTCTGTTTGTGTTAGTTTCAAATGCACTGAAAACCGTGCAGTGAGATCATGCTTATTAAAATGTGGGAAGGAGGTTCACCCAGGAAAAAAGGTCTTGTGCACATTTTCTATTGCTGTTTTAGAAAACTCTCCATGATCATTATTCAAAGGTAAATTTCATTCCAGGAAGATCCTTTCATAAAATTTAAAAAACCCAATAGAATACCCACAAAATAGAGGACAGTTATTATTAAAAAAAGAGTTTCATAGCCGTAACAATAGCAGTTCATTTTACTACTGCTATATTTTTCCATCTAAAGATGTTAGTAGACATGCAGATATAAATAATCTTCATGTTTCTGTAAAATAATTTTGCTAACGTGCTCTTTCACAGTTTGGAGTTTGGGTTTACGTTTTTATTAGAGTTATGCTGACTGTTTAAAAAGAAGACGGACTCGTGATTTTAGAACTTCTGTGCTTTCTTCCATTTTGACTGTCAAAGCTGTTGTCCATTTTCCAGTGTTTATGGGTTCTATGCCTTAGTAGTTTGTAAAATTTTAGAAAATAAAATCTCTTCTAGTATTTCAGATTAAAAGTGCAAGTTGCAAAGACTTCTAGAAGCATTCCATGTGCCTGTTCCAAGATGAGTAAGATAGAAATTTGGAGCTTTTAAATAATACACATCACAAGGATAAAATGTACATAACATATATTTTAAGATAAAAAATCTTAAAAGGATTTTTAAGATAGAAGACCAAAGAACAGGTAGATCCCCTTACTAATGAATCAAGTGAGTTTGGCTCCATCTGTTGCTCCTAGATTTCACAGCTCTCCAGGATTCCCACTTTAGCCTTTTTGACTTCAGTGACATATAGTTTGTTAAGCAACTTGATCTGCTTTTGATCTCTCCTGGCTGTCAGCAACGTTCCTTGATGCAGTCATGCCAGGCAATGACTTCTGTTCCAATGTCATTCCACAGAAGAAACTTTAGCACTTGCCACATGACTTGAATCAACACACCATGTAAAGAAAATTGGGCATCCAGGATCACAGGAGCAGTGTGTGACTCTCACTGATTAAGACTTGTGTTATGTAACTATTAGTATCAGTAGTTTTTTTTTCAGACTCTTCAGAGTGCTCCAGGCAGAGCAGAAAGATGTAGAAAACATGTATTAAGTCAATCAAGATTCTAACCCTCTTTGCTCTGACACTAAAGGTAAAATTTTGGTTTAGGAAAATATTGGATTTGTGGCCCAAATCTACAAAAGATGTGAATTAAATTTTTCAAGATGTGTTTAGTTTAGGAAAGAACTAGAACAGTAGAATGGCATTGAGTGTTATAGAATTATAGCAAGTTAAAAATGTTTAGAAGATGTTCTTTGGCCACACATTAGCATTCTAGCTTTACAACATTAAGTTTGTTCTTGCTAATCAGAAACTAATTCATCACTTGTCACTTATTGCAAAACTTCCATTGAAGCTCAGCTAAAAGGGAATTAGAAACAATGTCAGGCAGAAAGTAAATCTGACTAGTAGAAGAGATTAATAGTACAATGATAGCTATGAAATTGAGTTGAAGTCAGTACTTGTTTATATATCATAGCGTCATATTTAATATATTTGATTGGAAACTGACTACAAACAGCAATTATGATAATTAAACATTATTTTTGTAGTGATGCTTTCTTTTCTTATTCTGAGTGTTTACAACTCTGAAAATTCTCCATCCAAAAGAAGCTAGGCTGTGTGGCCCAGTACATCTCCCTGATTTGGAATGAATGTGACTGAGAATGTTTATAAAGTGTTAAGCATCTGCAGAACACTTTGTATTTTAAAAGTGTGTTCCAAGAAAAGCCCCAGAGTATCTTGGAAAAATGCATGTTCCCTATTTTTTTCACTGCTTCTTACAGTCACCTAAAGTTACCTATTCAGTTTGGACCTGCTAGTTGTAGAGTTCTTACGTGCTCTCATGTTTAACGCCCGTTGTGTGAATAAGAGCATTGGAAGTACCATCTTGTACTTCTAAAAGCCTTTTGAGGCATTTTTGGGGTGGTGTCAATGTGCAGCTGAGAGATTTTGGACAGCAATAGGCTCACTAATCATTCCTCTTGCCTCAGTAAAGGTACCCTCAGTACCTAGAATGAGTTTCCAACTCTGAGAGTTCAGTTGAGCTGTAGTTTGAGATGAAATTTTCTTCTTCATGGTCAAATCTATGTCTGGGGTGAAGGGATTACTTTGCAAAATTAGATTGCATCCATTATTAACTCTTTAATAAGTAATATTAGTGCTTTCAGACTAATTTTTTTTTAAAAATGCAGCAATCTATTTGCCCCTCTCACACACACACACACACGTGTGTGTGTCCTTGTATCTTTTCATATTCTCAAGACTGTATTCTATCACAGTTCTGATCATGGATCTAAGGCTCTATCAGTGCCACTTCTTGATCAGAAGCAAGAGTAGTATTAATTCCAACTTCAATTAGCAAACTTGAGCAGCCTTAAGCGGTTTAGGGTCCCACTTCAGATGGAAGAAAGGGAAAGGATTACTCTGCCTAAATTTGATTGTCCTAAAGGAGGAGAGGGACAATCTAAGGATTGATAGATGTTTCAGTTAGTGAAAGGCCTGATCTGGTGAACTGCCTTTTAAAAAACTGAAGTTTGGTGAAATAAATCGTATCCTAAGAGATTTTCCAAAAAGTTCTTTTT